CTATGACAAAAAACATTTTTTTACCCAAGTGACGAGATCGTAAGCTCAATAGAAGAGGAACCAAAGAATTAAATAAAACTAAAATTCTCTTGGAAAGTCTTCTAAATCTTACAACCGCACTTATAAACATTTACATCTTTCTCCACTTGTTATGCTTTCGTTCAGCCTGAACGAAGTAGCATAACCATGTAAGTTGGTTTTGTCTGTTACAACAAAAACCCCTTCGTCGACCGTGCCTTGTCTATTAATAGAACAGTGTGGCTTGTTTGTTCGGGATACCGTAGTATTTTGTTGTTGCAAAATGGTCTGGCTTTATCCCTTTATTGTTGTTTTTATAAAAACAACGTTTGTTTATTAGTGGTTTTATAAAAACAACAATAAAGGGATAAAGCCAGACCATTTTGCAACAACAAAATACTACGGTATCCCGAACAAACAAGCCACACTGTTCTATAATATAGAATTTTCAATTGCAGCATGCGTTATGGTGGAGTTGGATTACGGGATGTATTCTTTACTCAGACTGATTAGCAAGTGCAGCATGTTTGCTTGCCACATGTGAGATAGCTATGCGTATTTATGACTTCCCACTAAAATTCATCGTGCTTAGGCGTGTGTACAATGGTATCTCTCTTTCTCTAAGTTAGGTTAAGTAATATTATCGTAAGTAGTTCTTAAGAAAAAATTTTAATAAATAAATTTAGTGTCTTAAAACGCTCATCAAAGATAGACGTGGTGTCTAGAAATTTATTGATCCCGGATTACAGGGGGCTATACCAAAACGTGTACCTATACATACAATGTTTTGCCACACGAGCTAGAAACCATTATGACCACTTTCTACGGATTTGGCTAAAAATGGTATGTGTAGGTCATAATGGGCTTTATATATTGGTTCTCGTTCTTGCATGTAACGGTACCTGCCGATATCCAATATATTGATTTTTGTCACTTTTTTCCTTGGATTTGTCTAAAAATTGGTATTTGTAGTTCATAATGGGTTCTAGCTCCGGTGGCAGAACATAAAATATTTATGACTACGTTTTGCGATAGCGCACATATAACGATACCCACCGGGTTGAGGTATTTTAATAATCCTAGTCACATTTACACACGAAATTGTTTTAAATTTGTTATTTAAGAAGATTTGGTAGATGACAATCCTTGAAGTATAAAATTGTTTATAGAGGTTCCAATTTTGGTATGACCTCATGTAACGGCCTCACTCACTTTATGGTTTTTTAAACAGTTTGTGTGATTACATTAAAAAAGTTTAAAAAGTGCTTTTATAAAAAAATATACAGTTGTACAAAAATATATTGAAAATTGCTTGGAGGCTGTTCACAGCAACTAATTTAATGAATTTTGACAAACAGTGTGTGCATTTACACATACACATTTCAAAAGCCGAACCATGATTCAAACATAGTGTGAACCACTGACCGGCCAATCGATTTTCAAATAAAAGTTTAGACAATTATGATCGTCAAGAGATTTCGAAATGACATACGAATTGCTTCACGGCAGCGGGAATCTGCTTCACTCCGAAACCTTTGGTCAATTGTGTTCACCCTAGAAAGAATACGTCCTGAAAAGAATGTTAGGGCTCTTATCTCCCACCTAAAATCTGCATAGCTACCTCTAGTTTATCTTCAGATTGTCTGTTGAACTCTGTTCAACAATTTTCGATGAGAGCTGAGATAATAGCTTATTGGTGGTGACATCAATTCGTAGATCAATCGACTTGGAACCTCCTTGAGCCACCTTATTCCCCACTATGTTGCTATGTCCTCGAACCCAACATAGCTTAATGCAATTACGTATTTAAATGAGAACATTCTTAGAGTCAAGTGTGATTCTCCATATAATGGCACTTGACTTGAAAGGTTGAAGGGCCTTGATAATCGACGTTTTTTACCATTTCGACTGTCTTCTTGATTGCAGAATCTACGCCTGAAAAACGCTGCAATTGTAATAAAACTTTTATGCGTGTTCAATCATTGGGTTAGCGCAGAATATGCCTGAGCAACTGCCATGACCACACTGTCTAGAAGTATCGTAACATCAATTGACGTCGAAAAAATTGGACTAGGAATTTGTAACAATTTTTTGAACCTTTACTTTTTGTATATTTCCAAAAAAATCGGCTATCGACTGTTGAAAGCCAAAGAAAAACTATTACTCGATTTTTCGTCCGCCTTTAATGCCTACCATGTAAGTATTGTTTTCAGTTTTGTCCACTTTAAAATACAAATAAATAGGGGCGGTACCCAATATAAGCCAATAGAAAGAAATCCATTTCATTCCCTAAACATCACTCACATGAAATGCAAATCTGGACTTATTGTTGTATAGAGGTTATAATTATTGGCTGTCCTGTTATAAACACCCTCTACAGAGAGTTTACATTAAACATAAATTACAAATTAAATTGAATGGGAAATGCTGCATATGTATGGGCTGTATCAGAAAATGAGACTCTTGTGACTGATCTCTATACCTTCCTCAAGTAGTTTTTTCCGCAAGGTAAATTTCGGCTGCGTCTTTAAAAGGTTATCCAAAATCAGCTGAGAACTATTAGTAAAGATGCTATGATGCTATAATATCAGTGGCATTCGACTTAAAATATCGAAATATTTATATTCGATTTAAATAAAGAAGTATTGAAGTAGTATGAAGTATGTAGTATTAAGAAGTATTATTCTACCAATACATGTAGTTGCAATAGCTTTCCCTTCGAAATTAACTCTTATAAATCAATATCAATTACTTTACTGAACAGCACTATGGTTTTAAATGGATTGAAAAATTTAAAGTATGGATATGATTGTGGGTCAGATAAGATCTCATGTTGCATTCTATGAATTGCGCTGAGGCTTTTATTTCCCTTTTTCGATAATGTTCGAAGCATGATGTTTGGAAAACATCGTATATGATTCCACTCTTCGAAATAGAAAAAAAAAAACTACGTGGAAAATTACCGAGGAATAGCAAAATTAAGTGTGATTTCGAAAAACTAATTACTGAAAATCTTAACAATTGTGTCAGTTCTATTGTATCTTCTTATCAGCGCGGATTTCAGAAAAAGGGTACAACAGCAACAAATCTCCTTCAACGCACTACAATAATCAGTCGAGAATTTCTTCAAGGAAATCAACCCGATGTAATCTGCATAAAGTTAATTGCAAAGTACTATGATTAACTACAAACTATTTACAAACAGCAAGATTCACTCCTAGCTACAAAATAGAACACAAAAAAATATTTTTTAAAAATGCCATGTGGAAGAGTATTATTAGGAAGTACCTTAAGACCACTCCCAGTTTCTTTGTTTATAAATGACCTACCTTCATCTATTACATATTCAAGTATTTTGATGCATGCCAAATATCAGAAATATTTTTGATATTTTCGGATATATCTGTAGACAATTTGCTTCAGAATAAATCCATTTGCTAACTGGTTTACTATTACCTTGTGGGACTTAATTATTCCAAGCGCACATCCATGAGATTCACAAAAAAAAGTTATAGGATACTTGTTACACATTCGGGGACCATTCTCTGGAAAAAATGTATAAATTTGTTGAACTTAGAGTCGTGTTGGATTGCAAACTTTACTTTAATTCACATATATCTGTTTATAAACAAAGTAAAATCAGTTTTTGTGAAACGCTGAAGCAAGGTGTTTAACGATGCTTGTGTGACAAAAAATGTTATACATACTTTGCAATTCTTTGCCCTCTCTTTTGACCCTTTTTATGAAACCCACAGCGAATCCAGTCTATTGAAAAATAAACCCTACCTTTCTGCTTACGATGTTCGAACTTTTCTTTTCAAAATCTTCCACTATACACTGATAGACTCTCTTTGATCAGTGTTTATAATATTTTTGCAAAGGTGCTTTTGCCTATAGGCAACATTGGTCAAGTGTGGTAATTTCTGAACTGTGTACACTTTTTTATGTATAAAAACACATTTTTATGCGTCAAAAAGATTTAACACAGGCAGAAAATTAAAAAATTACTAATTTTGACTGGGATCATTCTGAGGATGAGGAAAATGAAGAAGAAGAGGAAAAAAGATTTATGGCGAGACAAAATTGTACAAACTAATGGAACGAAACTACAAGGTAATGTGTCTGAAATAATAAGATACGTTGCTTTATTCCTATACCTTCCTGTAGTCAATATTCCAACATATCGGATGGCATGGGTAGAAATTTTCAAATTGGCGGCAGTTGGAAATGCACTTCCACGGCATAGATTTGAAAAAATTAAACAATTTTATACCCTGAACCATGTAAAGGAGGGTATATTAACTTTTTCATTCCGTTTGTAACATCCATAAATATTCGTCGTAGACCCCATAAAGTATATATATATTCATAATCAGCATAAAATTCTAAGTCAATTAAACATGAAATCACGACGCAGCCCACATTAGCTTCAAAACTTAGCAGAACGATTTGTATTGTATCTAGGACGGTTGGTATTTTTTCACTGATTTGTCTGAACCAGCCGAACCTAATGTTTTTTATTCGTTACTTTTTAATAATACTGCTGCTCAACCTGAAATGGGTTAAGCTGAATATGATAAATTATAAAAAGTTCGCCCATTGCTGAATTTTTTAAAGAGTAAATTCAATGAATTCCAAAGGGTGGATGAGCAAATTATGTCATATAATGGTATTTAATTTAATGTGGTTATATTTATATCTTTCTTTCTAGTCCAGAAATATATGTTTCCAGAAATATATATATATTTAATTTAAAAATAGTATATAAGTTGTCATATCTGAATAGTAATATTGCAATTTAAAACTAAAAGGAATTCTTAGTAAGAACATGTACCATTAAACTCAAATTACAAACTGCTACCGACAAGTAAGAATCTATTAAAAAGTAATTTATTAATCATATTTAAATCAAAATATTGTTTTATCTTTTTGTATATTTTAAAATATTTTTCTATTGTAAAATTGTATATCTTTTTTTATAGATGGTGCTTTAGTTTACAAACGAATGTCATGTTTCGCAGAGGATCATTCTTCTTCTCTAGATGCCATAAAAGAATTTTTATATACACATTTTTTTGTAAACAGATTTGCTTTGTTTCAGTGTACATCAATTTTTCTTAAAAAAGAATACATTACCGAGGCAGTTAAAAAGTTTCAGAATAGTCCGTGCGTCTTTGCAGTTAAAAGGTAAGTGAATGATCAAACTGAATAACATGATCTTGTTTCACATCCACTTACGAAAATTGATATATTTTAATAATAGGGTATTTCCTTATGAATAAGTGGGTAACATTCTTAAATATTCGAATGACCAAAAAATTATAAACGTCGATGCGTCGCCCTATCACTTTTCAACAGACTTGATAACATTTGAAAAGTTATGCGATTGATGAAAATTTTGATTTAGAAAGTTAAACCCGTTCAATCCGATTAATAGAGGATTGAAGACTTGCCCAAACGCTATTCAAGCTCGCAAATTCGAGAAGAAGTTCATCGACTGTACAGCAAGTTTGATAAGTAGTGGGCCGGTATTCTACAACACTCAGGCGTTTTCTGCATGAATGTATGTGACGAACAACACGTAACCTGTGCTAGAAAAAATGAACGCGGATACATTCTATGTAGGCAAACCCGTTACCTTCTAGTTGTAGCTTCTTTTAAGTATGAACTGTCCGATAAACAAAAGGTCAGACCATTTATTTTATATTGAAGAACTGAATTAGAAATTTCTTTCATGAAACTAATTAAAAATTCGTTTTGTTCATTATTTTTAAACTAAAATGAAGATGCCATTGTGAAAAAAATCAGTGACTACCAGTTACTTTTACAAAAAGCTTGTTATATCTCTGTAAAAAATACATATTATTTAAGGAAAAAATTTAATAATGATAACCCGATAATGTGAAATTCATCCTTCACTTTTCCTAAAGTAAGATATAGCAAAAGTGGGCAGTAAAGAAAAGATATAAGAACGTATATATCTATAAAAGTTGACGTCAAAAGCTCAACACTCTCTCAATTTTAGGGACGTGAGCTTCTACTTCGATACGAATAGACGTGCAAAAATAGATCTTGAATGTCAAATAGATGTTGAATGTCAAATATAATGTTCAGCCACAGGTACACGTGATTGATAACATTTTGGTGTAATTAAGTATTTTCACTTCAACATAGTTTTGCCATATCGTTTCACTCTTAAAACCGACATGGTGGTTCAGACATATGAATAAAGGTAAATACAATTATTTGGTTCATTCCGATTTAATTCATCCTATAAGGTACCTTAAACAAAGTTGAGTATTACATTCTGATTGCGTAATTAGAAAAAAAATATTTTTTTTTGATTATGACTAGCATTGCAATTGGTAATAAAATAATCTTTGGAGCTATTTAAAGGAACTTGAAAAATAAAAAAAGGCGTAAAAAGTGCCTCTCAAATGAAACTCCTTATATAGAGGCTATACGAAGAAGTGTACCTTCATATGTAATTTTTTGTCGCTAATATCAAAATACCGAATAAAGATAGGTACCGTTATATGTGGGCTAAACGAAGTCGCGCACCATTTATGGTTATAGTATCCATTACAAACTTCAAATACGTGATTGCAAATACATTTTTACTTTGTATACCCTCCACTATAGTATGGAGGAAAGGTTGCCATTCCGTTTGCAACACATGATTTGACTAATAATCCCTGTTTCCTCAACTGCTGTATTTCTTTCGCAAAATCCAATACCTGTATGGTCTTGACTATTAGTTGTGTTGCTTGATTCAGCTCCATGGGGGTCAATACTTCTGTTGAGCTCCCATGCTTGCGTCCATTTATCCTTTCGGAAAGTTGTAGGTCATAACCGACAATCCGTTGTAGTCGACTAAATGAACCCTCCAGTACCAATAACGATTCATGGAGACTGTTGTTTTATCTGTCTTGGAGTGTCTTCCAAGCAATGTCGCAATTCGCCTCATTTTAGCAGACTAACTTGAGTTAAACACAACTTGTTTCTAAAAATCTATTTCTCTCTTTCGGGCGCTGTCATTGCCAAGAATTGCATGTAGTAAGGGGATGATCACCGTTGCACATTTAACATCTACGGTTCGTCGTGGAAGCAACCGTCGTTGCTTCTGAATCCCGTTGACTGCTTCTAATAATCCGAAGCGGCTCCTAAAACTCGTTTGGAGCTCACAATCGACTGCTCATACAACACATGATTAGTCTTGTCCATAACCTTTATTGAGATGTGAATTAAGAGTGGATCCCATTCTTTCGTTTTTACTCCAAGACCTCCCAGTACCAATAACGATTCATGAAGACTGTTGTTGTATCTGTCTTGGAGTGTCTTCCAAGCAATGTCGCAATTCGCCTCATTTTAGCAGATTAACTTGTGTTTTTTACTTTACCTGTGGTCTGCCTTTTGTAATTAACAAGACATTTATTTCACATTTAAAATTCAATTTGAGCACAATCTTTATTGGCATATTAAAACAGAAGTTTTCAGTGGTTTCAGTGGTTTGTTTTTATGTGGCAATTTCAAATGTTTATATGTTGTTTAAGTTTAATAATGAGTGTAATTTTTACTGTATTTTCTTTCTAAATTCGTGTAAGTGTTGTATATGATTTTGTGTGTGGAAATTCATGTATTTTTTGTAAATTGTGTAATAATTTTTGTTTAACGTTCTTCGTGTTGGATATTTGTTGATTAAATATTTTTTTTTTTTTGATGATGGTTGTTGTGTGTTGTATGACAATGTTCTATAATTATGTTTGTTAATTTAAATGTTCACTTTGTATTGTCTTTAATTTTCACTTGTCACTGGGGAGCACTTTTGAACTTTCGCGGGCGCGATTTTAAGACGAACTGTGTCGATGCCTAATTTGCATCAGCTTAGCAACCAAAATTGCAAATCAATTTGTTGCTTATTTACTTCCAGTCAGTTGGAAGTTACCGGTGACTGCGCATTTGTATGGGTGCAACATATATTTACAATTTTGCCGCAGTGGCCGTTAACTCCAACTGACAGTGGATATCAAAAGTTTACGCATTCGTAAACATTTCTGGGCCCCCGAGTGACAAGTGTAAATCTTCAATTCCGCTTGCTCCATACAATTTTCGGCAGCAGGCATGTTCCGGATCGGTCCAGCGAACACATATCCCAGTTGTGTGTTGAAAGCCCGTACATCCCCTAATCCAACCGCCACACACCCACTTTTGCGAATCGCATTGTATGTGTCCGCCCCTAATTCCACATCGATAGGCGTGTTCCCCCTAGGATCTGGGTCGGCGATGGCGTAATTAGTGAAGCCCCGGGTGGGGTCTTCCAACAGAGCCTCCGAATAAAGTCGCCTGGGGAGTTTGTCGCTCACCACCGCATTTACTTGCAGCGACCAGCTGCTGCTAATTCTTCTGGGTCGTATCGTGAATGTGGTTATGCGTTGCCCCTTATATATGCGGTGCTGCAGGCCAAACCGCCTATATGCCGCATATGAAATGGTGGTCATAGTTGCCGACTGGCTCATCAGTGCCCGCACCATTACGAAACCTTCCATCCCTTCGGCCATTAACCTCATCATTACGGTGGGCACCAACACCAAATCCCATGCAAAGACTGGTGCGTTTATAGCATCCATATTCAGAGGCACCTCATCCAGCTGTGATGCCCCGTGCAGGGTCGTATGGTGCCTGCTGTCGCAATGCCTGCAGCCATCCAGACTGGGGCAATCGGGGGCAAGATGGCTCCTTGCCAGACAGTTCCGACAATACCCACGTCTTTCCACTGTCTCATACCTCTGAAACGGGGTCTGTCGCCGGAACACCGGGCACGAGTAAAGGCTGTGGTCCTGTTGGCATAGTCCACAGGAGTACTGCCAGTTGCTGGGTCTCTCGTTTAAAAGGCGTCGGTTGGGCCTTGCCTCACGTCTGCTTCTCGGTGGCTGGTTAGGACTGCGGGCTGTTCGATTGGGTTGTGGGGTTGGGCGGTTGGGGCTCCGGGCTGAGTTACTGGGGCTGCGGCTCCGGTCTTCCAGACGCCAGTCCTGATTTGGTAGATAAGCAGCCATATCTGTAAAAAACAAGAAGCGAGTACTAGGTTCTTTTAGGAGGAAATATCCGGCTAGTCAGTCGGAGAATAGTTTGACAATTTTGGTAATGGGTCTGCTTATATTGCCACCAGAAGTCCGTATATCCACTACCCGAGTATTTTGATCCGTGCCCTGATAAGAATTTTGAACGCGACCCAACTTCCACTCGTTTGGAGCGAGTCGGTCATCCTTTACCACTACTAAATCTCCCTCTTTAACGTTGTCTTTTTGGTATTTCCATTTGGTTCTTCGATGGAGTTCATGCAAATATTCTAACTTCCATCTGTTACAAAAATATTGAGAAATCACTCTGAGTCGTTTCCACCTATTTACTAAATAACATTTATTTGTTATTTTAAAACGTTTCTCTTTTCCTTTTATTTTGGTATGTTTTTTAAAAATTTCTTTTTTTCACTTTGTATAAAACTGTTTCTTTTAATTTTTTATAATTTCTATTTGTTCACTTAAATTTTGTTTTACTATTCACTTTGTAGAAAACTGTTTCTTTTATTTATTTATTTTTTTATAATTCTTTTTTGTTCACTTTTGCCTTTTTAATTTTTTTACTGTTCTTTTAAAAATGGTACTTAAAAATTTTTTTCACTAAGTTCCTTACACTACATCACGACCGCTGATCTATTTTAAGATCTCCGGTTTACCTCTTATTTTCCGAAGAGGTTACTAGGGCACGATACGTGATCTATTAATTTTTTTCCGGAAAACCCTTTTCCCGAGGGTTTTATTTTTTACGAATAAGGACCTTTTATAAGGGTCCCTGCTCGGGCGCCAATTAAGTTTTTAAATGTTTAAAGATTAAAAAAAATATATTTTTTTATGGTTGTTCCGGCGACTGGAGCAAGTATTGATGTCCCTATAAGAAAATGACCGGGAGTCAAGGGTGACAAATCATTAGGGTCGTCGCTAGATGGACTTAATGGTCGCGAATTGAGACAAGCTTCTATTCGGGCTAAAATTGTTGTGAATTCCTCAAACGTGAAGTTCATTTTTGGTAGACTTTTCTTTAAATGAAGTTTAAATGACTTAACTCCTGCTTCCCACAAGCCACCCATGTGCGGCGCACCAGGTGGGATGAATTTCCAACTAAGATTT